TGGAAGGACTGCAACACGTCGCAACCTGCACGTTGAGTGGAAAGGACCAACAAAACAGAAAATGAGATGCAAGACATGGGTCGATCTCAAGATATGGTCGATCTCAAAATAGGAGCTGGACCCTCCCTTGAGGCTCTGAGACTTCATCCATGTCATCCAACTCCACATAATCCGCCAACCTATTCGATGGTGAGCACACCTGAGGGTAAAACTAGCTCACTATGAAGGTTATTTACTTGGTGATCCCTTACTTCAAAGATTAAACACCTTTCCTTAAACACCTTTCCGAAATCATCGAAGAAGTCTATACAAAGGGGAAACCAACCAGCTCGAAAACCATCCAGCAAATACAAGTCCAACAACAAAGCTAGGAACTCCTGTGGAAATTGCATGGGCTCTTTGTACCAAGTAGGGCATCCCTGGGACTACAGGTAGGCTTGCCTTCCTGCAGAGAAAAATCGACCAGGAACACGCAACATAAGTGTACAGTACTATTTATATTCAACTTGAGATGCTTTAGTGTATACACCCAAACAAATTATGGTTGAGTCATTAGCATGTTAACAAAAACAATATATATATATATATATATATATGTGTGTTGCCATATGTGTATCATTTAATAGTGTTTCAACGTTATAAGCACTTTGAATCAATAATTCAATTTGTAGCTTATTGACAATTCCAATTGATGTTTGGATGGTTCTCAAATGTAACACAATATGTCTTGCCATTCCACAACTCATGACTCCTAAATCACACCATCTCTGATCGCTTCCTTCGGCACTACCACCAACTATCATTGATTTCCTGTGCATACTCCTGGGCCGTCAACAAAGCAAAGCCTAACTTTCCGGAAGCCTCCAACCAACTTCGCCATGGTTCTTTACACTGCACAACTTGGTTATGGTTCGACATCCCTGGTGCGGAGTAAGTCTCTAAGTGGAGCGGTTCGCCCGGCAAACGAAGGGCGGGCCAACAAAAGAACCTGAAAGCAATGGGTGAGGTCGCACAAACCTGTGCCACGATTCGTCCAGACACTGGCCAGCTGGTTCATGGTTCCTTAGGGTTTTTAGGTTTTGAGTTGGTTGAGTGGTTGGGTTCCCACTTAACCCATTGAAAGTTAAACTTGTAGCAGGGATCTGAGGACTGCCCAGTTTCCTTGGTAAACGTTGACGCTGTTGCTAAAACTTTGTCTTGCAGAATGGGGAACCAAGGAAACACAAGGCTGATCAGGCCCTTTCCCTCTTGGCCTTTCCCTGATTGGAACCCTGAACCTCCTGTCCGCGACCTTCTTTGGTCGTCCGAAGTTGAAAGGGATACCTTCACTGGAGGGGGATTTACACACCAAGCATAGAGGGTGGGCACAAATGTATCTGCCATTTTAGAGTTTAGAGGGAAATGTTGAATTTGGTCACTTTACTGGGCCCAGTATGCTTAACAAAAATCGCACGGACCCCCAACATCATGCATTTGCGTAAGGTGCTACCTATCAACAGGGGTACCACCAAACTGGGTGTATTTTCAACCAGCCATCTGGGTGTTTCTCAAAATGATGAACCCTGGCGTTTAGAAGGGACACCAACAGGAATTTGGCTACCACCGAAACTGGGCGCATTTCACCCCAGCCATCTGGGTGTGACCCAAATAGTTGGACCCCTTGAGGAATCTTTTGGATCTCCTATGAGACAATTCAGCGGCCTCCTCTCTAACCCCGAAATCGGCCCGCGCCTCAACCCTGTACTCCGCTTCGCCTGCGCAGTGAGCGTCGCTGCGGGCCGACTGACCACTACGACAGCGGCCAAAAGATTATGGCTCGTGTGCTGGCAAAACAGACCGCGAGCGGTTCATGTGCCTTCCAAGTTCACCATAGACTACCAGTCATTTTGACCGAACCTACAAGACGTGCCGAAACTTTATCTAGGCGACTCGACCTCCGGGCTGACACCGGCGCTTTGGCAACCCTGATGCTTGGAGTCCAAAAGCAAATAGGGAACCTGCAGTCTCATCGACTTGAGGAAATCAAGTTGCCTCCACCGGGGACACTTGAAATTCGGAGTGACACCCCTGTTCCAGGGTCATAGAGTTGGAGGTTCACATGTCTCAAATCAAATCGACTGAAAGCTTGCAGCTTAAATCAACACATCGACCTAACAACGGCCACGAACCACAGTTTGGAAGCTTCAACGTTAGTTTCGGACTAGTCAGCAAATGGTGGACCAAACATCGCTGAGGAGTTGTCACGTGCAAGCACAGGAGCTGAAAATAAACCCAATACTGAGTCATGGTCCTCAATGGACCCCAACAGGCACCATCAGTCACAAATCAGCGTTGGACTGGGCCGCCTGGAAAACGTTACGGAACGTTCTGCTGCTTGACAGCGACAATACAGGAAAACCAAAAAGGCAAAAGGTCGAAAAGGTAAGCTAGGTCTGGCAATGTAGTCACCAGGCTGCAATCCGCTTTCACTAAGTCAGTTCAGCTGAAGAAAGCGTGCTCTTGGATCAAAAGTAGTCCGCTTGGGGAAAACTGAAAACAGCGCTGGGCGTCGTCCCCGCAAAAAGTCAACATCGGGACAGAAAGAAAGAAAGAAAGAAAGAAAGAAAGAAAGAAATAATCAAAGAAAGGGCATGGTGTGTATGTGTGTGTGACCCCCCCTCAACTATATATATATATATGCATGTATATACATACATATATATATATATACATATATATATATATACATATATATATATATATAAATCGATGACGTTGTGCTAAACTGTATCATGGTCGCTGCAGAAAATCAAATGGTTTTAGAGTCTGATATTTCGTCCACCAAGTATACACTAACTTTGGAGGGACACCCAGGCTGCCTTTTTAAGATGAGGTTCGTCTTCGGTACCAAACAAGGAGAGAAGATCTAGTCTTGGGCTCAGCCTCGTTGCAACATGTCTAGATCGCTGTTCAAGCCATTCGGTTGGTTTCCCGGAAACCAAAAACCCTCCGTACCTGACAAAGGATCCCTTCAAGAGGAAATAGATACGGGTACCCTTTTTGGGTGGTATGTTGCTGGAGGTGGGGCAATGCGAACCACTAATTAACAAACCCCTGGTTGATCAATAGAGGGGGTCCGATTTTTGCGGCAATCCTTCGCATTTGGAGGGGACACATTGCTTGTTGCTAGCAGTCAAACCCCCGAACTCCGTCGGCTTCACTGAAAGCAGCACCCAGAAATATGTGTTTCCCCAAATAAATGTGTGGTAGTTGTTTGGTGTCCCCTTAAACCAATCTGAACACACACACACACACACAGATCCAATCCGGACCCTGCAATTGCGCAGGCGCGCCTTTGTCCATCTCCCGGGTGATGCACAACTCGGATCGGGCAATGGACGTGGAACTCCAAAAAAGAGGGGGTCTGAATCCAAACTCAGCCCGGGTTTCCATGGGGAAAAAATCACGTGTTTTGTTGGTTGTTGTTAAAGGGGCATCTTTTCAAAGAAGAAAATTGCCAAGCCCCCTCTTCTTCTAGATGGTGCTCAAAAAAGAAACCAAATGGAAGCCCACCCCAGAGGTTAGACCCTATTCTTTAGGACATGCTCCGCATGTGCTCTTGACCAAAGGGAAGGCAAAAGGAAAAACGCAAATGGGTGCATCTGCTTTTGGAGGGTACCCCTTTCTTGTGCTGTTCAAAGCAAACAAGGAAATCAACCATTTAGGGGATTCCCTAAAAGACACAAATTAGGTTCAAAGACAGCACGGGAAATGCTATGGAGTGGTTGCTTGGTGTGTGCGTTTCTCTGGCGAGAATCTCAGTAGCCAGTTTGATTGAGATTGTCTAATATGTTTTGTCTGAGCCGCATACCAGCAGCCCCAAGCCACTACAGGGAAAACCGTGGCTTGTCTCGTGGCTGTGGGGTAGATTCGGTGGGGTGAAACCAGCTTAGAGATAAGTTGACCCACCTGGTGTCAAAATCCTAAGATCCTGAGAGACAAAACAGCGAAAAGGGCCCGGCAATGGGCCAGACGAGCGGATCCCCCCAAACTTGTTAAACTTGGGGCACCCTGTAAAAACAGTGTCCACTTTCTGGTTGAAAGGGAAGCTGCAAACCCCATGGCAATGTCGCAAGTCGATGTATGATCTAAGGATCTCTAACATGGAACAGCACAAGGAGATCGCTCCAATCGCGGGTTCCGCGTTCTGGGGAGTGAGCATCGCACCAACCAGAGTCTCCGCGGGAAAAAAAGAAGAGCGGTAAGCAAAGTTGCCGGAACCGAGTCCTTCTATTGAGTGGCCTGTCTCCGAATCACTGCTGCTCAGCCCACATCCCAGCCCTTGTTGCTTGAAGACCGGCCAACTCCACAAAGGCTCATGGCGATTCCATGTGAATCCCCATGAAGCGGCAACTCATGGCACCGTGAAGGTCCGTGGAAGGCCACATCAGTGGACCTGATAGCTTGGCGCCACATCCATGGCTCGTCTTTTGGTAGCCCCAAAATGGCTTCGGTTTTCCTTTTTCCTTCAAGACCGCCCCAAAAAGCATAGCCTCAAAAACGACGCGCCCCCATACTCGATTCAAATTCCTCGATTGCAGATTTGAGCTCAGTGATGCAGAATGTTCGCATCTCAGGTTGTGTCTCGGGGATCCTGACGGGCGGTTGTTGGCGCTTCCTCGAATAGATTAAAGATCACATAGTCTCCTTAGAGGTCACAGAAAGTGGAACGCTGAAAATCAGAATGTTCCACGTCACTTAGGGGAAGTCTACGGGGAAGTCTATGGGGATGTGGGGAAGAAAGGTCTTTGACCGGTCTGCCGAGGGCCACAAGAACCTTGCCCACGTGCAAATAAGATTCAAGCTGCGCGCGCAAGGACCAGGAAAGGTCAAAAAAGAAAGGGTCGCCGTAAAACAACGGGGATTATTACCCCGCCCCTCCAAATCACTGGGAAATAAAAGTTCAAATGTTTTGCCGCCTTTCCTTCCAAAAGCGCAGAAGCTTGGCTTTCGGCGGAAAATCAGCTGCGCCACTGGGTCTCGCCAAGGCAATTTTGCACTGAGCAGGCCACATATTGATCCACCACCTCCATCTCCTCCTGAGGCAAAAGCACACCATCACACTTGAAGGTGTGGGTCGCCTTCAAGTGAACCTACCAAAAAAGTCTTGATCTGTTCCCCCGACCCCAGAAGCCCATGTTACCGGAGCCCACAAAACCGTCGAAATCGCTTGGCGTCAGCTCGTGCGACGATTCGTCGACTCCTCGTAGAGCAGCGCCTGAAGGCGGCTGTGGAGGAAGACAACCTGCACCAAGTCCTGGCCCCGGGCGTTTTCAAGCTGTCCCATGGCTTTTTTTGAGGGAAGTCAGCCTTTTGGGCCCTATAAACGGTAGAACCCCGTATGTTTGGGCTCTTCATAGATTTCCGCAGCCAGGTCCGTTGCTGAACCTTACCGAAACTGGCCTGAATCCCCCGCGATGTCCACAACCGGGCAACCAGCCGCCTCGTCTTCGAGGATGCCCTGATATTCCGCCATCGCCGTCAGAATGCGGAAGTACAACAAAACGCCTCGGCCGCTCCCAAGCCTCCACCCACTCGTCTGGCAGGAGGCCCACCCGCCCCTCCCGAGGAAGGTCTGGCGACGCGCGCTTTGGGCGCGCTCTTTTTTGCTGAGGGTCACAGAATTCGAGAAGAACATGTCTGTAGCACCCCATCATGTAGACCCCGGATATAACTCATAAGCGGTGTGTTCCCTCAGAAGGTGAAGCTCCCTCTGCAAAGGTTATGCTTATGATTCTTCCCAAAAAGTAGAGTGTCCAGGAATTGAGGGAGTAAGACGAATCCGCGATCGAAAAGGAACCCAACCATGTTGAAAGCACGCATTTCAAGGGAAACCAACCACATGTACAAGTACACCGTTTTTTGGGGTGGCCACCACATCTACAAATTTTACTATACTTCCAAAAGCTGACTTAGGTTCTGGATCTCCTCAAGGACCTTTCGCCTTTCTCATGGTGTTCACCTCGCTACACCCTCAGGGTGAGCTCGCAATAACATAGGCAGACTTTATAAGAAACCTCCCACCACCCACCACCCACCCCACCTACCCCACCCCACCAACCCCTCTGTCTGGCCCCCCCAGCTCACGCCGAAGGCGATGGTCAGCCGCACCACGTGGATGCGGATGGCCGTGGCCAGCTCCCCGTGGAGACGCATTTGGTGCAGCTCCTCCAGCGGACCGACCCGGGCCGAGTCGCCGCCAGGTGAGTCAGAGTCAAAACCCGGTATCAACATGGTCGTAATCCTAGAACCATGTAAAGAATTAAGAAAGCCGCCGCAGCTATATTTATGGCAAGGGGATTGTCTCTTCCTAACCTTCATCTACCCGGGCTTTGATTGTGGCTCATGTGGGGATTGGATTCAATGACAAGACTCACTGGGAAACTGGGTATGGAATAGGGGGTCCAAAAAAGGCATTTTCGCGAAAATTATCCAACCAGCCACCTCACAACTGGGGATTGAATAGGGGGGTCCAAAAAAAAGGTAAAAAACAAATCCAACCCCCCGTTTAGTTTGCAGCTGAAGAACATAGGCTATGTAGCTCCCTGGCAAAACAAAACAAGAAGTCCTGAATTGGAACCGATTCCCTTTAAAACCAGGAAACATAAGAAATGAGATTTAGCAGATGGAAGGCGCGCCCCGACCGACCACCACCAGTCGCTTTCCCGGTGAACTTTTTGGCAACCAACACCCATACCCCCAACCAGGTACACCAATTTGAATGTTGACTCAATGTCGGTGCTGGGGAATTTTGCAAAAGGAATTCTGCCAGTGCAACAATCGCATGGGTAAAGCCAACGAAAGGCCCGAAAGCTGGTTGACGAATACGACGATCGTGCGATGCATCCTGAACGACGCATCGTTGGTCCCTAAGAGCCCAACAGTTTGCTAGTGGGCAAGTAAGGGTTGAGGGTACCACTTTTGGGATGCTTAATTTAAAGGCAAACCAGAAGGAAACCCACAATTTTGAGCGACCCTCCGACCAACAACCATGTAAGTTCACAGACTTTAGGAAGAACACATTCCTAGGCCAACAATGAAGTCCAATAGTCCAAAAGGGAAAGACCCAAAGATTCTCAACTGTTGCGACCTTTTGCCCTTATTCCCACGCGGCTTTATCTTGTTGGGCCAAGTATTGGGAGGGTCTTTGGGGGGAGTAAGGGAAGCAAAGGGAACACCAATTTCATGTGTCCCTTCTTGTTGGAAAAGACCCCGGACTCATAAGCCTGTCAGACCAATTAGCGCCTAACATCAGACACCCCGAGATCAACCTGTGAGTTGTTCATCCTGGGTTGCCTCGAGTGGAAAACTTTGCAAATGACCTGCCAAGCCTCTGACCGGCAACGCGCAAGACATCTGCAGTGACGAACAATAGACCATCTTCGTTGCTCATGTCATGGTGAAAGCTCCTGTGGGTCATGGTCTTCGGCTCGAGAATCGCTGAGAGCCTCCACCCTTCCCATCCACACAACTTCATAGACGCAAGCTCATCAATGCAAACAACTCCACGACAGCACTTCGACAAATTTCTTCGATCGAAAGGCTGGCCTCTGTTGACGGGAGACTGCCGAATTCATCCACACAACCCTTGGCGTGGCAGAAAACAAACATGTGTTGTGGGCGGCCCCAAAACCAAAAAATGAACAGAACACACAAGCCAAACTTAACAAACAACTTGCTAAGAAGAGTGAAGTTAAGTTCCGGATGCACTTCAACCAGCTCTTGGACTCGACTTTGTTTCCTCGCGAATTCGTTTTCTTGCCAGCAGAATACCCAACGAATTGGGCTCAGCGACCGGTATGAGGTCACCATTACCCGATCGACATACACAAAGCCGCTTGCAGCCAGCCTGCGAGTATCAACGCAGTCGAGAGCGATGGGCATTTTGCGGAAGCCTGCTAAGCAACCCACACATGCCCGGTGCATTGCATTCCCGGCCAGCTTGCGGATCTGGGAGTCGCTCGCCCAATTCCCAAAAGCTCAGGCAGCACCCCTTGTAGCATGGATACCAGCTCAGGAGGCTTGACATCGCCTATGATCACAAGAAAACGATCTGTGAGCCATGGCCATTCGCTGAATAGAGAACCTCCGCGTTGAAATATATCCATGACCAGCCCAGGCCCCAAAACAAGTTTTCACCACCGCACAGATCAACCATGCTTCTCTTCGTGGCTCTCAGTCCGCAATGAGGGAATCACCTTCGTTCCAAAAACCTTACAATTTCCATGAAACCGGGATCCATTGGTGAAATGTCCAGTCCAAAACCCCGCTTGATTCCTTGTTGATTCAGAAAGGTTCCCTCATCCATGCGTAAAATTATCCCAACACCCCTGTTGATTCCTTCCATTTGCTTAAGCCCCCCCAACATTTTTGCTTACAAAAAAAAGAGTCCAGCAGTAATAGATTCCCTTGAAAAACAGGGGAGAACAAGAAGTATTCATTTCAGCAAATGGAAGCCACTTAGCCACCGTTTCGGCAAAGGCCCCTGTCCCCTGCGAGTTGGTCCTGACTTTTGAATCATGCGAGTGGAAGAGTCGGTTGATTTTTTTGAGAAAGGCCTTCCTCTCCTCCGGTCCTGCTCGCTGCGGGGCGGATGGCCCATGACCAGATCCCCCAAGTGGTCCTCCTTGGCGCCTCAGTCGACGGCGGCGAGCGCCGAGCGGAGGGCGGAGGGCGGAGGGCGGAAGCAGGGCAGCAAGCAAAAAAGCCGACAAACAGAGAGGCCCATCCAAGCTGAAACAACGAAGAAGGAAGGAAGGAAGGAAGGAAGGAAAGAAAGGAAGCAGGGAGGGAGGGAGGGAAGGAAGGAGGAAAGGAGTAAAGGAAGGAAGGAAGAAGAAACAAAAGAAAACCAGCACGCCAGCAAACAAGTAATAACCAACAAGCCATCCCACGAACCCACCAGCCATCTAGCCGGTCAACAAGAAGGCTAAGCTTGAATAGCAGCAGTTTGGTGGAAAGTCTACTATCCAATGCAAGAACCTTTTGCGCATGGGTGATACTCATTTCGAGCGAGGATGCAAAAAGCACGTGTGGTAGGGAAACGATTTACCTGAAAACAGGTTTCGTAAAGGGGCTCAAATTCCCCGCTCTAGGAGTGTCTTTGGGTGAGGAACCCTCAAAACAGCACATAACACATGCTTAGCCTTAGAATCGGGACGCTTCTTCTTCGAGGGGCCCATATGTACCTTTCTGTTCCGCCTTTGCCTTTGGGTCAAAGGCAAACCCTGCTGAAAATGCATTGCGAACCAAAGGGCCACTGTTTGCACCGGAAAGCCCCTTTCACAAAGTCATATTGTGCATGGTTGCAAAATTCGTCCAAACTTTGACATGAAACCATGGTTGAAACCAGAACGTTGGTTGGTATTTACTGGGGAATCGTCAATCCAGGGTGTCTTAGGTGCTGCGAACGGATTTCGTCCACAGTAGACCGTCTCAGCTCAAAAAAAACTAGCACCGAAGCCCATGTCCTGCACTGGGCAGCCAAAGCTGTCATTCACCAACCCAAGAAGAATGTTCATGGCGCCTTGCAACTTGTGATTTCCCATGCCCGCAGGCCCAACCTCTGAAAGGGTCAAACCAAACATAGCCATATGGCCATGGGTCAAAACCCCGTACCCTCAGTGAACATCCCAATCCCCACTAAAATAGACTAACATGGGTGGTGCACCTATCCCAAAATGGTACCATTGGTTTTGAACCATGGCCATATAAGTTTGCGCATGCGCATCTATGTCGAGGGAAACTAACCGGTCACGGTTGCGCTAGTCGCCTGGTGTTTTCGGAGGAGTCACTGTCAAAAACGTTGGGTGTTTGCTCAATTCGCTCGCAGCGTGGCAGGCATCAACCTGCAAAGCTACTTTGTTCGGCTAACTGCGCAATAATTTCGCCAATGCCCCCAACAAGGCATTAGGCGAAGCAGTTCCCAACTTCGTCTCCACACGAGTTGGTAAGTTCATTGTTTCAAATGAACATTAACATCCAAACTATTGTCACGCCAACATTTGCGGTGGAGCTGCGGAGGTAAGAAAGCTTTCAATGCCATTCACAATCCATCGATTGAGTTCCATGAATCTTGGACAACTTGGAACTTCTGACATCGTCTAAGTGTCTACAGAATTCTTTTCGTTGGTGGCTCACCTGATGAAAGTTTTCACTTTCAGGATGCGAGCTGCCTTTGGCCAACACGATGCGCCATCATGCCAGAAACACCACGTTTGCTGACACAATTCAATAAGCCATTGGTCTGTACATCTTCCCAGGACTCAACTGGGCCAGGGTCAGCAGACATCCCTACTAAGCCGTGAAAAGAAAAGCAGGGACCGAATGTAATCATCCCCCCCACCCCAACCCCCACACCCCAGCCCACCCCTAGTTGGACACGATCGCTCTGAGTCGAAAGGGGGAAAAGTAGCACTGGAGAAGAAAAATAACAAAAACAGTGTTTGATACCAGGCGACCAGAACAACCGTGACCAACTAACCACTTCGGCGGGATCCAATTTTGGCCCTACCCTGAGCTACCTGGTTTGAGTGGTGCGGCCCGAATGATTCGCCATGGGTTTGTGTCCCTGAAGCAACCCTAAGGCCCCCTTTCTGTGCTCCATATCTCAACCCCCGCACACTGCATGCAGCCCCCTCAAAAAAAAGAAAGAAAAAGACGTGGATTCCTTTCTTTTTTTTCTCCTTTTTCTTCCGGGGGGGTCGTTTCACGTTCACCGTGTCCCTAAAATGAACGACAACAAGGGGCTTGGACTTGGGTGCTGAACTGAGTCGACCGTAGCCCTCTCAGCCCGCCTGCGAGGAAGTTACACACGGAGTGCACCTCGGGCCACTGGGGAAGGAACCAACATCTCCATCAACTCGTGCGGCACGGCACGCTGAAAGTCGACTCTGCACTAAGGTCGGCTCTGGGCAACGCCGACAAATGGCTCCCGCATGTGGCAATTTGTTTTCCAGGTGGCAAGGACCTCAAAGAAGTGGTCCTCCGGAAGAAGATTCGTCAAAAGAGGGTTCCATCTTGGTAGCGGAGTAGCATCAGGAAGTCTACAACTTTGAGAGCTTCCGTGGAACTAGGAACTTGAGCTTGTTCCATACCTTGCTGTTCAAATCGCTATTGTTCGTTAAACAACATCATTTCGGCTTCCCTTTAAAGGAAATCAGAGGTTA